AATCAGTTTTTTAGCCATAGCACAGCCAAAAACGGTCCAAATGAGGAATGTAATACCTCGTAGGGCTCGTAACTTAATTACCATGATTCCCAATTGGTTTGCATTCAAATCTGGGAAACTTTATTTTTGCCGCTTTATATATTCCTGTCGAAATGCGGAAAATGTTACTCCAAAACTACCTAGTCTGGTGGGACTTACTCCAATCGCTGCCCGTTTTGTGGCAACGTTTATTGCAAATACCTGCTAGTGATTCTTTCTTTAAATGGAGGTAGTCCTCGGGGTCAGCGAATCCTTGTGGAAGCCACAAGGGGACGGAATGTCAAAGCCACTTTCATTATCAAATAATACAAAAGAAGAACCAAAATAGGTTAGTACCAAATCTGAAATACACTTGCAAATAAAGTATACCCATTAAAATCTAATAATTAAATTTTATATAATGCGAATTTTTGCGAGAAAAAATATAAAAATTCATCTTATATAATTTTTGTATGCCACAATAAAGGCAGAACGATTATTACAATATTATTACAATAATATATATATATTTATATATATTTAAAAACGATATTTAACTAAAGGAAAAACAAATTTGAACCAACAATCAAACGAGGGTTAAGAAAACTGTATCTTTAATTATTATTTTTAAATGTGACAATGTTGGGGCTTTGGTTACGTAAATACCCTCCTTGGTCGACAAACACAAACGTGGTGAAGGCCACAAAGGCCATTAACGCTATGGGGTGGCGTTGGGTTGTGGGTGGGTGGTACAAAGCAAAGTCAAAGGCAAAAGGAATTTCTTGATTAAGTAATAGGAATGTTGGGTCGGTAAAAAGCTGCATACACCAGAAATGTCACTCGTTTTATCTCGTCTCTGACGTTATTTCCCCAAAGGGGTGTGAGTCCGTTAGGTTTATCCTGACAAAGGTTCTGCTAACAGTGCCACCAGTACCGATGGGCGAGTCAATAAAGCATACTGATTAATGTCAATTTGTACTTGAATGTTTAGCATAAATTATGCATAAAACAAAGCAGAAAATAATAAAACAAAAAAAAGAAAATAAGTGCTTACAATGTCCAATTGGTCCCCAAAGTCACATCCCGCTGCCCTGCCCATATCGCAGCACACGGGGCATTTAAGCCGATTTCAGTCGCTTGATACCATGATACCAAAGCATATACTTATCAATGGGCACAAACACTAAAAGAGTAGAAAGGAACACTAAATAAAGTTATTTTTTAAAAATTGGCTTTGAAATTATGAATAATTCCTATTACTATCAGGAGTATTTAATATTTACGCAATGTATCGTAAAGACTCAATAATAAACTGAATTCATATTTCGAACGAGTATTTTCAAAGATATTATTACTGAGGAGTTATTTTCGCCAAAACATACTGGGTATTTTAAAGTCGACCATCTCGCAATAAGCAGTTTTATTTTCTTAATGCCAAAAATGCGGAAAAGCCTTTATAAAAGGGAATGAAATTACCTCAGGCTCCTGCGTACCGAGATGCTTCAGTCCTATAACTCCAACAACAATGGCAACAATCAGCCAGCCACCAACAAAAATGAAAAATAAAATAATAAATGACAACAACAAAAAAAAAAAAAAAAAAAATAAAGAAAAGTGAATCGGTGGACAAATTTAATTTTCCCATTTTTCCATTCTTTGTTTCGCCTTTTTTCCTCTTATCCTGCCACAAAAAAGCTGAACGAAAATGTCACATAATCAAATTTTTAAACGCAAGCGATTTAAGAGTTGTCGCCGTTAACAGGGATATTTTGGTTGATGAAATGCTGAGTATGAGTATATATATATATATATATATATATATAAAATACATATATAAAAATGTATAATGTGGTGTGAAGCGGTGTTCCCGGAGCTCCTTGCGATGACATATAAAATATTAACAAGAGCACCGCTCGCTCAAAAAATTTCCAATGCAAGGAAAAGCTGTGTGTTTGTTGCTTTTTTTTTTGTTATTTGAAATGAGTTGTTGGAAAAGGTGGCAAAATCAAACTAAAAAACAGGGTAGAGACTGAAGTCAGGGGGGCTTGGATGCAAAGATCAAGCCAGTCGCACAATTCGCCATGAAGCGTGAAAACAAATTTACTCTACTCTTTACAGAGGGTGTTTAGAAATTTCCTGTGACTATGCGGCTGTTTGCATACCTTAAGTTAATTGCAACCGTACATTTTTTACCGTTCTGTGAAATGAATTGCAATTTACGCTTGTAGAATTATATAATTGTAATCTTATATTGCATTCATTAGATTTTGTATTAACCAATGCTATTTTATGTACAAAATATTATTATTATATTATTCATCATAAGCATTTGAAATCTATGCAAGAAATATCTTTGGAAAGGGCGAACATAAGGAAGCCATTCTACTTTTTTTTGTCTCCTTGTATATAAATTAGAACACATCAAAAGTTTGTGACATTAAATTTCGTACCCTCGTGCCATTTCACAAAACTCGTTCCCACACGCAGGATAAATGTTTTGGCAGAATGAGTCTGCGGTTGAATTTGGTAACTGGAATGAGAATGAAATTGGGAATGGGTATACCAATGCCGATGACAGTAATGATGCTACGCGGGCGCGAGTAACCGGGTGTAAGCCTCGAACCCAGACCCAAAAAAGCCTTTGTACCTAAACCGTAACCTCAACTTTTACAGTCAAACAACAGAAACTGGTAACGCATTCCAACTTTTTAGTTTTTAACAAAATTGAATTACTTTTATAAGATGATCATATTATACATATACATTACTTTTTATTTTAGATTTTACGCAAGGCTTAAAAAAAATGCAACATTTGACTTATGCAGGCTTGACTGTAGCTTACAGGTTTTGGCACTAACCAGAACAAGGCGGTCATGATGAAGGTTGGGTTGATTAAATGTCCTGCTCCAGCTCCTGCTCCAGCTATATGTATATCTCCCTGTGTGTGCGAGCGTGAAAATGCAATGACAACAACCCGAAGAAGGCGATTACACATACACACACATACGTGGAAGAGATTTTTGGGGGCGATGCCTCCACGTATGCCATTACGTTAGGTTATGTTACGCATACGCCGCGTATGCCGCGACCACTTGACTTTTCGCAGTCTCGAATCGGGATTCTGCCGCTGACTTCACTCGACTTCAACAACACTGTTCCAAAATAAAAAATGCCTTCAAGTATTAAGAGTATTTCTTAAATGCTTTGACTTTGTCGGTTTTTTTTCCAAAAATAATTCCAAAGTAATTCAATAATAAAAGCAAATATTTTCATAATTAAAATATTTTAGTTGTATATTATTTAATGACTAAAATTATATAATTCTCCGGATTTCAGTATTGCTCAAGTGTAGCAAATATTCCATTTGCCTTCCTCTTTCGATGTTCATTCTTATCGCTCACTCTGTCCGACTTTTTCCCTGTTTTCTTTTTTCTCGTTTAACATCCGATTTTTGCTAGCTTTTCCAGAGGAAAAGAATGTGAATGTAAATAACATATATATGTATGTATACAGTCTGTCATTTGCTTGAAGGCTTCCATGTCTGATGAAATAATGCTAATGGACTGAAAGCTGTTATACTAAGTCTCCAAAAATAATCCATTTACAGGAAAAATTCCTCAAGGGACAACTCTTGACACTCACTTACATTCTTTAACTTAAAATCATAACCAAATGTCAAGAAATACAAATTTCTCGTTTTCTATTCTTTTCCTTTTTGTTCGTATATAATGTAGTTTGTCCTTCTTTTTATATAGCTCCTTGAATTTTTGGTGTGTGCGCGTACGAGCGACGCCAATGAATATTAAAATATTTGTTGTTTTCGTTTAAAAAACTTTTAATTGGATTGCAGCGTTTTTAATACTCTCATGACTACCAACCCATCCAATCAGCCGTCCAACGCCCTTGCCCCTTTTACGTTGGTCACACAAAAATTTTCCACAAAACTGAAAAATCAATTAAAATGGCCGTTCGTCAGTCAACGCGTTAAAGGATCAAATCTGCAATAGGGACAATAAAAAATGAAAGTCCATCGTTGAGCGGTTTAAGTCCTTGAATAATATCAAACACTCAGGGTTTTTCGCAATTCCAAAAAAATGTGCAGAAGACATATGTAACAAGAAAATACGACTTTAAAAAGGGGTAATGAATTTATAAATAAATGGCTATGTATTTAAAGTACCTTCTTACTTTAAAGCCCATAAGTAAATCTTGATTCAGTCAGTAAATTAATGATATTACTTTTTTCATATAGTTTCTTTCAAGTATTTCATTAAAGAACTCTCGTTTCTGGTATGGTGGTCAGTTTTTATTAGATAATTTATACGTTTTACTTTTTTTTTGGTTTCGCTTTCGATTCGTTTTTGTTTTTTTATAAATATTTCATCTACATAGTTTATATATTTCATGTGTATATATATTTTTCTTTATAGCCATAGAACAATTATCACATCTTACATATGTATGTTGGCTACACTTAAACGTATCCATTACATGTTTACTCAAATGTATGTATTTGTTTGTATGTGTTTGTTCGGGTGCATTTTAAAGGGTAATTTTTATGAAAAAATTAGGAGAAGAAATTATGGATGTATCCCTTGAGAACAAAATAAAACAATTCATGGGTGCATGTGGTAAGCTCCTGGCTGTCGGTAGCCTATCTACAATGTCCCATGATCCCGCCTTGTGCTCTCCAACTTTTCAATACATTTTCCATACAAAATTTCTTTGACTTTCATTTTTTCGCCATTTTTTCCGTTTTGTTTTTCTCGAAGCTTCTTGGTAATTAGACTTGGCAACGTCGGGTTGCATCAAAAGTTTGCTCATTTATATTGTATAAACAGTGAGTAACAGCATCCCACTTTCTTGGCCTTCTTGGTTCCGGCCACTTTGTCCATTTAAGTCCGTTCCGTTCCATTCAGTCAGTTGGCCATTTAATTTTTCAGCTGGCGCTGAGAAGTATGCTACAATTTCGTTTGAGCCAAGTTCAGTGCGTTTGTGCGAGTATGTGATGGCATGTTTGTGTGCGTTTGTGCAAGTGTGTGTGATGTTGTGTGTTCGTGTGGGCCATGCCTTGTAAGCTGGTTTTGTGTTAAACGTTTTAGCCTGGCGGCGCTGTCAGTCGGCAAAATTTCAAAGGCTGGCCAAGACAACAAGGGCAAAGGGCACACAAGCACGAAAACAAGAAAATGAAAATGAAAACGAAAACGAGCCCAAACAAAAGCAAAAGCAAAAATAAAAGGAGGTAATAAACAAAACAAAAAGAAGAACAAGAACAAGAAGAATAAAAATGATGGTAAATGCATTAGTTATTTAAAGAGTGAAAACATTTGTTTTGGCCTGTTGCCCTTATATTGCTTTCACTTCAGCCCATACAAACGCACTCACACAAAATCACGATAATAATGCTAATGGCGTTGTAATAAACGCGAAAATATATATACAGCAAATCAGTAAATTAATATAAATAAATTAAAATAAATTCTTAAGATTTTTAAACAAAAAAAGACATTTGCCTCCTAAGAACTTTTTCGTAACCTAATCAAAGTGTCTCTACTTTGTACTAGAAAAAACGAAAGTAAAAAAAGAGTCTTAAAATCAAAAACCCCCTAAAATCCATTTAGTGTGCTAGTGAGTGTGTGTGTGTGTGTGTTTGCAGGCGTCTAATGTCGTGGTTTTAATGTGTCTGTGTTTTGCCACGCCCCCATGTCAGCCAATGCGTTTATGCCCTGTTCGCTTAATGCCTAATGCATCATAATGCCTAATAGATGCACTCACCAAGCAAATCGCATTCGCCCTTCTCCAGTGGCTTCAGCCACAGTGGATTGTAGTTAGGGCACAATTTCCGATGGATGGGTATGCGAATTTGCACTGGCGTTGCTGCCACACCCTCCCAACTGGCGCGGCCCTCGAATCGGGACCCATCCGACCTGTTGCACTGCATGCTCAGCGGCTCCTGCATGTACATGGTGTATAACTGGTCGATCCTCGGCTGACTCCATTCGATGCTCCGGTAGTTTGATGACCTGGCTCCATTCAGATGCACGCCATGCTGGTGCTCCGTACTGCATGGATAAAGGAAATAGAATAATATATATAAATCAATTTCAATATTATCTAAGCTGACAAAATATTAAAGATCTGTAGATATTTTCTTCTAAAATGTAGCTATTACGGTCTTAATGACACACGAATTAAAATGATTTAAGCTTGGGTAAGCCGCAACAATAGCTTTAACCCAACCCAGCCATTTCCATTTCCGAGTCGCACCTGGCGGATGTGCTTGTGGATGTGGATCTACAAAGTGCTCAGCCAAGGTCGCATTCCAAGTTTCACCATTATGGTGGTTTCGGCTCTAATCTAATGTAAACTTCGCCATCAACTGCTTAAAGTTGGCAATTAGCGAACACCTTTTTTGGGGTCGAAAAGAGGGGCGGAATGTGAGAGGGTAGAACAGGCGTACGGGGCGTAGCCACAGGAAGGGAACAAAGAGCATTTGGGCCGTTATGAATGCGCCAAGGAATCGAGCCTCGAAAGGGAATGCCAAAAAGTTTCCCTTTGATGCACAAGGAGCCAAGCGGAAGAACCCCCCTAATGAAAACCCACAATCCCACCGCTTATCACCCTTCAGCCCCCTGGAATGCCCATCTAGGATCCCCCCTCTAGGTTTGTGACGTCGCCTGTCGTCGGTGTTCGTTACTGCGTAGATTAAAAAATATTTCTTCCATTAGCGCCGCAAAACGCCCGCGGGATGGATGGATAGAATGCCATGAATGTGCATGGGCGTTATAATTGTTGAATAAGGGCAGGGCAGCGAACAAAAAATAAAGAAACAGAAAAAAAGGATACTAAAAACTAGAGAGTGAGTCAGCAAAAGTCATAGATTCGCCTGCAGCACTTTTCCAGAACGAAAGGGTTTTTGGCGGTCAAATCTAATCTAATCAATCAGTGGAGAATATATCAACTTTGAAATGACTCCACACATATTTTAATAACAGTTACTTATTAAAACTATTACTTTTCTAAAAATTCTTTCTTTTCTTCCCCAAAATATAATCACTTTTAAGATTGAGGGTTTCATGGCTTTTAAATGATTCAAAATTTGGCTAATAACTCTCACCGCTTCATGTAGATGAAGTAATTCTCGAGCGTCTCCTCGGAAACTGAACTCTTGCAGACCTCCAGTTTGGTGGCCGGATAGTAGTGGATGTAGTTGACGCACATCTCGTCGCTGATAGAGAATCCCCCGAGGGCAGCGGTCTTGTCCTCCTTGGTGTTGTAGTAGCAAGTAGTCACTAAGGCGTCGCCCTAAAAAAGCCAAAAGAAAAACTATTGCTAGATCAAACGGATAACAAGGATGTCAAGACTTCTAACTTACGCCCAAAAAAACACCAACCACAAAATCAAAAGAGTTTTTAAATAGTAAATTTAACTTAGAAGACCTCTCTTTTAAGGAGCTTGTCATCTGGGGATACACTCACCGGCAGGACACGTGGCTTGTAGTGCAGGGTGCGCATCTCCTGGAAGTGGTTCGAGTAGAAGTCATCGCGGTTAACCTCCCGCAATTCCTGTTCCCCGCGGAAGTGCCGCGTTAGGACTCGCACACCACGCAGATGAGTATGTAGCTGGGATCCGAATATGATGATGCCCGTGGCCGGGAGAGCTGCCCTTGTGCAATCGGCCACACAGTAACCGGTTAGCGGGAAAGCGGTCTGGCCCGGCGGTATGGCCATCTTGTCGGTGTATTCCAGGCCTAGTTCCATTACAGCGGCATCATATTGACGTAGTGTCTTGGACATCTTGATGCGAAAGCCCGAATTGTCCACCAAACCTTAAATGACAGAATTTGAACAGTCAACAATAGGGCGGATGATTAATATTTATTTCGGGATATTAATTTTAATCTTGTTTTCAAAAACCATTTTTGTTTACTTTGTTTGATAAAGAACAGGTGTTCATCACAAATCCTAAATGGCTTTCAATTGACTCTCCAATTAAAATAAATATATATGAAAAGTATGTAATAAGCTTAAAGCTTGAACAGAATCCCTCGATGGAGCCACGTGTGGCGATGCAGCTCATCACTTAACCAAATCGGTTTTGAAGGAAGGTAATCCTCTTTGGCCAACCCACCCACTTCGCCAGCCACTCACCCGCCTGCTTCTCCGGATTATTGAAATGAACCTCCAGCCGGACGTAGGGATTGAATCCGGGTCCACCGATGGGCAGACCAGCCTCTGGAGGATAAGTAAAGGTGCTGGCACCCATGGCCCACAGCACCATCACCTTGGAGCAGACCTTGGCCTTGGGCGGCATCTTTTCACAGTCGCCATTGTACAGGGGAATCTCTTCGTGCTCGCCGGCCTCGCAATGGAAGACCTCCATGTGATGTACGATGCCAGGTGTACGGATGAGTGGTTCGAATTGGACAATGTGATGCCGTCGCCGGAGATCGCCATCTAGACGCTGAACATGGCACCAGTAAGTAGTCTCCTGATTGGGAATCTGTGCATCTTGAAGTTTGATCTCCATGTGGTCTAGCTCGCTGGGGATCAAATAACCATAGTCAATCCCTAAATAAATTTTGTTTCTTCTACACTTACGTTTCCGGTATAAGTATCTTGTCCGCTCGAAGCAGCTGGAGCATCTTAACACCCGCCTCATGCGGTGCCGTCACATTGGGCAAAGCAAACTGGTGATCCTCCAAGGCCAGCTCGGTTTCACCGCGTGCCCAAACCACATACATTGTGCCCTCCTGCCAAATACATTAGAGTACTGATAAATCCGGGAAAAAAGTAACTCCACCACCGGGATTAACTTACATGAAGTCGCAGATCTAAAGGATCACAGGTATCAAACTTTCTCCTAAAGGCCAATGTAAACTCATCCATCTTGAAGACCTCGCAATCCTGTTGATAATCCCGCCTCACCCATTTTCCATCCGGACTGGTGTACGTATCGGTTACGGCATTAAAGAATCCATTCTGATTCTCAAAAAAGCAAATATCCGCATCTGCCAATTCGCCGCGCTTCGAAAATCCCAGATAGAACCAGCGGTGCTGTTCGTTGAAGGCATTCTGCAAATGGAATAGGACCTCCTGCTTGTACCAGTCCACCATCCAGCTCAGCTTGATCTCCTTGTCATCCAGGTAGATCTCATGCAGCTTCGTGTCCGATAATCCTGGAAAAGTGATCAGGGTTATATGATAATATATAAATTAAACTATTTTTGTATATTATTTTTTTCATATTACAATCTAATTTTTTCTATAATTTAACCTTTAGATTGATATAATTCCTAAGCTTCCTACCAAATGAATAGCTCAAGACATCGGATTGTTAAAGACAACACCCTGTGGCGATGTGCTAGTTTAATTTATTAATTAGCCCAGCTCAGAGTGAATGGGGGCAATGGGTTGGTATACCATTGGATGGCCCAGCTGCGAAGTCAATTTCCCACGGGACCTGATGCTGTCAGTGTTATCCGACCTGTTACTCTCAGTTGGTTGTACTGTTCTGTCCTGCATTGTCCTGGACAGTCCACATTCACATCCACAGCCACCGACAGGCGAAGTTATTGGTGGCCATTAAGCCGGATCCTCTGCTTTGGTTACCAATCCCGGCAACTGTACATCCGTGTGGAGATGGTGATATAATCAAGTTGCCTGTGTACTAATTACCCAAATAAAAGCAAGCCACGCGACTTCAATTCATCGGTATCCACTACCCGCGAGCTCATAACCCTCAGGATGCCTAGGAAACTGAGGGAGTCCGAAGAGAAACTCATGGAATAACGGCAACTTGACAACGGTGGGATAGCGTGGATTTATGTTGGCAGCGACTTGGTCGAAACGGCAGCACATCAGGCACATCAATTACGGCAACAATATCAACAACAACAGCAATCGTGTATCCAGTGGAGCGGCAGTAACGAGAGTGAAGGAAACCCCAATAAAATGTCAAATCCAATTGGCAAACACACGCCGAGATCGAGGACGTTGAGGAAGAGGATGAAGATGAGGCCAAGAGCGAGGACCATGGCCAGAAACTCTGAGAGTGGATGTGGATACGGATACGGGTGTGGATGTGAATGTGAATGTGGATGTGGCTTTGCAGGGCAGTTCGTAAAGTATATTAAACTGTTTAACAGTGAGCAATATTTTAAAAGACCAATGGTAATAATGTTAATTTTTTAAATAAAAGAAAATCTTGCAAACAAATACTAAAGTTTAATTGAAAATACTCATAGTAATGAAATGAATAAAAATCATTTATGACCAAGTTCGTATTCTTTTTTTTTCCAGTGCAGCTAGATGAAGACACAGAAGGCAGTGCAAAAGCAAAAAGCAAAGGCAAAAGCGAGAGCGATAGAACGAAAATAAAAACACTCGATTACAATCAAAAGTGACAGCGGTCCGTGGTTTTTTTACAATGCCCTAGTGGGGGAGCGGGGTGGGCGTTGGCTTATTTTGACATGGGTGCGGGTGGAAGGGAATCAAAGAGGGTTGGTTACCCATAGGATTCCGGGCAATGGTGCGTTGATGAATTTCGCTTTCCGCTCCCTGGTTGTCCAAACCAGAGCAGTTCAATCAAGTTCGGCGGAAGTAATATGCTCCAAAAGTGAGTTGGGGCTGCACTCGCGGCACCGCCCGATTACCACCCACTTTACCAAGTCCAAAAGCTTCAGTGTGTGCGTGTGTGTGTGCGACTGTTTGCCACTAAAATTGATTTGTTACTGTACATATGTCTCACTTCACTTTTACAAGGGGCACGGACACAGACATAGACACACACATACAGCCCAACCGCAGAGAACCCCAACGAACCGGAACTGGAAAACCGTAAACCAAACAAGCCCCTCCTACCGCCACTCCATTTCTTCGTCGGCGAAAGTTTGGTAATACGAAACAAATCGGTTTTGTTACTCCGCTCCCAAACGTTTGCCATTTTGGAAATTGTTTCAGAAGGGGGGAAAGAGGGAAATGGAGTTTTAAGCCAGTGAAAAACTCATAATTGGCTGGTTGATCGTCGTTAATTACTTGGCATTGGTGTTATATGTGATTACTTACAGTTTTTTAGTAAAGTAATATGGAGTGTTTGAACTCTCTCCTCCGAATATCATAGGAATTCCCTTAAACTTAATAGGATCCTGATAAGGGTAAGTTTAACCATATCTACCTAAGTAATACAATGTGTATCGTTTATGTTCTTTTGCGATTGGAATGAGTACTCGTAGGTCATTGTAAATTCAGTTCGTGGAATTGGCCCAATTGATTTGATTTGGCCATGATTATTGAACTGCTCTCGCATCCTTGGAATTTAGGCATTCCTTTCGGTATTTTGGCAATTTGATTCCCGGCAAAACAATTGAAGAGCCACATATACTCGCACATGGATACAGTCTATAAGTCGGTTGTAGGTATAAGTGTGATAAAATTTAATAAACTTGAAGTTTATTGCATTTGCTTGACTGCTTTTCGGTTGTGCTCTCGCCCTCTTATCCAATTGAAAAGTCTTATGATTTCTTCTAAACCCCACTTGAACTTGAAATGCCATTTTGATGCTCTACTTCTTCTCCTTTATTTTCTTTTTTTTTCGATTTTGATAGTGGATGGGGGAAACTATGGGAGATCCTTGAGGGAATGTGCCGCATAGTTTTGTGTCTTCGGACTGATGACGGGAATGATGAGGATGTTCCGCGCGGAAATGCCAAGGCGCACAGGAATTTTCTTATTATTTACTGGATGCGAACGAACGGCACTTGAAGGCATGTCCAATTTCTCGCCACCCACTGCCAGTCACTGCGATTCTCGCCAATGCCCGCACATCGAACATACCAAAGTGCTTCGCAAGGCTACACAGCAAGAAAAAGTTTGTCATATATTTTTCATAAAAGGCTTACAATTGTCACACTCTTTTCTTATTAAATTGGTTTGTCATATTTTTTAGATCTAAAAAGAGGTAAAATACGGCTAATATTGCCTGATTAATAAAGGTTTTACCAATATAAATTGTGCAGTAATTACATAAACTTTTAAAAACTTATTATTATCAAAAAAACCCATTTCTCACAGTGTAATTTTTGTTTTTGGACGATGGGCTGCCACAGGCGCTCGAGGATGATGTCATTATAATAATGTTATATGCACAAATCGTCAATTGGTTTGGCCCGGGGACGATTTAGCTTGGCTTTAGACAACCTACCACCGACCTCCTGCCCCTCTCATTTGTCGCATTTCCAGCATTTCCCACATTTCCCCTTCCAATTTCGCATTCCGATTCCCATTCGTTCATTCAAATTGCCGCTCAAGTGACGCAAAAGCATCTGGGGAATGAAATGTTCGTGCTTTCTCTGCCAGCTTTGTACCAACTTTCTCCGCCTCTATTTGGCTGCCCCACTTAACACTTTATTGGATTCCTTGTGTTGTTGTTGCCTTTCCATGTCCTGTTACTCTTATCACTTATCATTATCCGCGCTCTCATCTGTCCACTTCGATTGCCATGTCCAGGACATTGGCTCATAATATAAATTGACTGCGTCCTTGTGGCTCTTTTTCCCCATTTTTGTTGCCTCTTTGAGTTATGAAATGGCTTGGCATAAGCACTTGATATATATATATATTTTGTTAATTTCAATAAAAATTCAAGTTGATATAATTATTATACTTTTTCTTTTATACATTTTTTACATTTTTAAAAAAGTTTGCCTACTTTCCAGCGCATATATTAAGTTCCTAAGTATTAGGTAACTTTAACTTTGAGACATTATCACGCCTTCCCTTTGATTGAGACAAATATTTGAACAAATTTCGCTTTCGCTCAGACACTTACCTACATTCCATTCCCCTTACGAAGGCTTGAGAAATGCGGTCGGAGCTCTATATAAATTATTGAGGATTTATTGGGTGCACTCCTTACACGCTCACATATATATATATGTATATATAGATATATATTGGCATTTTGATGGACTTCCTATCACACCCACGTACCCAAAATTACACACGCAAAAATCTAGTGATGGGAAATATCTTAACAGGAGAACTACATTTAGGAATACATTTTCAGAGGGTTTTGAAAATTTGGTTAGAAATCTAAGCTTACAATGATTTTGTTTAATACACACATTGATTTTTTTTTTGGTATAAGATAATAGTTAATAAAATTGTAGCACTTCCCTCACTAAATCACACCAAATTTTCGCACTTTGTCTAGAACAAATGAGCCCACATTTAGTTTACCATACAGCTTATTTATGGCAACCACTTTGCGCCACCTTTCGATGATGACGATTCGCATAGTGATGATGATGACAAACGATCTTTGGGAAAAATGGATACTTGTATATATACTATGTATATATATATATATTTATATCTGGCAGTGAGGGCAGTGGGGCTGTTCAACAACTGCCGTGACACATTGAGTAATGACACTCTCAAGTCGATAATCCATTAGGATGTCCAACACTAAGCCCTATGAATCGTTAATTCCTCCGGGGAGTTCGGCTTTTTCTGGCAGCAGGGTCACATAAATGCCAGAAGAATTAAAACAAATTTCCGAACAACATTTTCTTCTTAACTTCAAACCAAAGTTAAATGGTCAACTGTCAAACTTTTCAAAAAGCAAACAAAAACCATTTTTCCCAAGGAATTTAGTTTCTAAGTACACCGAAAATAAGAATTATTTATAGTAAAAATCCTTCCACATTACTCTTTTTTGTATGGCAATTGATATTAAATATTACATTAATCCATTTTATGTTTGTTATAATCATAATAATTGAAAGAAAACTATAAGATATTCCTAAGTAGTAGTATATTTTTCGCTAAGTGTATGTTTGTAAATAAGCCAACCGAAAATGGCTTTGGATTATTTTGTCATTTTCAAGGAACCCTCAAATCCTTCGGCAAATTTTAATTTTAATCATAAAAAGGAGAAGGCAACTCTTCAATGTTTTTTGTGCGTTAATTTAGTTTCGCATTTTGGTATATGACATTTGGACGGCCCCCAATGGCGACATTTGGCATCCAAAATTTTGCTAGAAAGCGGACAACGGGAAAACAGGAGCTGCATATGCTGGAATAAGTTTGGGTTGGAGGGGGGAAAACGTGGACAAAACGCACGTGAATGTAAACTGCCGCAGGCTGTTGCATAAATAACAAAGCCGCCAAATTGCCA